TTTTTACTTTGGCGTATAAATCTCGGAAAAACAAATCGACCCGCCACGATTTATGGCGATTTATGGCGCGCACACTTTGTATCATAATCCGCGTTGGAATTCTCGCGAGGGAATAAACGAATGACGTGGTAAATAAAGTCGATAAATAATGCAAATGACAAAGTAGGTAAAGCCATCTTTGCGGAAATATTGGAATGAATGTTAATTGCGATCGATGCAACGCCGATGCAAAATTCCTGTCGCTCTTTCGAAACGCGTGGGAATTTAAAAAAAAAAAGCGCAACTTGAGAAAATTACGGCGAATTCCAGCGTCCAACCGCGTTGCGTAACGCATCGTTGAGTCCTGGCACGCGTGGCTTAATGGGCACGACCGACGGCGACGCCACGCCGACGTGTGTATCTGCCTGCGTACTTGCGTACTTGCGTACGTGCGTACGTGCGTACGTGCGTACGTGCGTACGTGCGTACGTGTTGTACGCGCGCATACCGCTACGAGATATTTCATCTCGCAGCGGAGCGGACGGAGAGGAGCACACAAACACAGTCGATTCTCTCTCTATCGTTCGTTCACCTCGTATACATTCCTCTACATTCTACAACAACAGCGATTTTGCCCCGCAACGATTTTGTCCCGACGTCCGTCAAACTTGTATAAGAATGTACCGGTTTATACCACAATATCGCTTCCCTCTCCTCTTCTTCTCTTCTCCCCGAGAGATAAAGATGTTTAAAATCTTACTTTTTCTCATCTAACATCGCCAGAATTTACATTAGTAATTATATGTATATTGTATGCGATCAAGAGAGGAGGCTTATGGCTATTTTTCCATAAGCCTCTCTTCTTTAGGAAGATTATATGTATAATATATATATATATACATACAATAGAATGATCATTTGAAAAGAACCAATTGGATATCTCTATAAAAAATTGAAATCCGATGAAAAAATTTGTATATAGTGTAAAGGAGATTGTTTTTGGCATTGATCAAATTTTTTAAATCGGCAAACTATTTTTATCGTAGAAACTTATTCTGCATTTCAATATTTATAACTTTTATAGAAAAAATTTTTTTATCCGGCGAGAGATGTAGGCTAAAACATTTTCAACAAATTAATTAAATATCTCTATGACATTTTGCGAAAGATTCTTTTATAGAGACAAAACTTATATAGACGATATAAAGGGGCAGATTTTTTACTTTTTGCGTATTAGATGACAATTGTCGAGATTCATTTAAAGGTCGCTTTAAATTATCGTACGCAATTAGATTAAGCGCACACTCAAATGTATAAATTAAACCAAAGACAACATAAGTATATACAATGTAAATACCGGTCGTGAATTGATTTCACGAACGACCGTTAATGAAGTCGCGAATCGAAAAACACTGGCTTTCGAGCAATGGGGCGATTTTTCAGGGTACGAAACGCAAAAATAATTGACGCGCTATCGAATCGGCTATCGACGGCGTTATCGTTACCTTCCGACGCACCTGACGCCTGACGCGCGTCGGCCTCTCCTTACACTCGACTCTTCTCTTCTTGCCCGGAGGCGATACGGAAGGCCGGGGGTGAGCCGAGTTTAATTTAGCCGTCACGCTCTTACCGGGATCGATACATCGTAACCGCATCAACGGAGTTACGGCCTCGTGAGTGTCACCTTAACTTCGACGGGCGACGCGACGCGACGCGCCGAAAGGAAAGGAAACCCCAAAGCAGATTTCACTTCCGGAACGACGCCTGACTTGCCGTCGAGATGTCGAAGCAATATGGCGAAAGTTCCCTTGAAGAAGGCGACGGAGCGATCCCTCGGATGTTCTTCTTTTCTTTTTTTTTTTTTGCATTTTTTACGGAAAAATATCAATCTGAGGTTGACTTAATCGAGATTGGCATGTAAAATAAAATTAATTTTCTATATATATATATATATATATATATATATTATTATTGAAAAGTCGTGCTACGAATTTTCTTCAAGACACACAAAATGAATCGATAATTTGCAAACTAGTTTTACATCTAACCGTTTACCTAAAGTTTTGAACTTGTAGCAATTGTTGGAAATTTCAGGAAAAAACATGAATCTCTTAACTCAAACTTGACTTAATCACAATTTTTTATACTTTCTATATTCTAGAAATATATTGTGAAACTAACGATATGATTACAAGATTGCGCGGATGATGTGAAGATTCGAGGAACTTCAATGCGAAGAATTTTAATTTTTAAACCCTACATCTCAATCCTCCATATTCCAAACTTCAGTAGCCAAGTTTCGTGAACGTGCGATGCCTAAAGTTTGATAGGCAATTTATGCTATCGCGCTATCAATTGTCTAGTGCTCTAAACAATTTCTGTATTCACTATCGCAATCAAAAGTCCATTATAACTTCTCTCTATCGATAAAGCGTATTGATTTTAAAAAGGTAATTAGCTACTATTATCAGTTACATAGTTTATAATAAAAAATATTTTTTCAACATGCGCGTATATATGGACATATATATGGAAACAGGTATATATATATGGACATATTTTATATATAATTTTATTTACATTTAATTGTATACCTATATGGGCTTTTTTTCTCGGCCAGATTTGTATTCGGCAACTTATAAATTCTCAAGTTTGAATAAACATATAAACAAGAGTGGAAATTTCAATGATTTAATTTGCAACTTTTTCGCAATAGATTCTATATTTAACGATGAATACCTTTTTTAGCCATAATTTACACAACATATTTCTCTTGGCAAATTGAAAATTTTAACAATATACTTAACTTTTATGATAAAATATATTTAAATAATTTATTTTTGCAATTTGCCAGAATCGTATTTAACGTCAAAAAATTACATGATATATGCATATTCTCTCTCTTTTGTTGAACTGTATTATTTACGTATTTACACAAATAATAATTCATGCATTTTTTTAAGTATTAATTTTATCATTCGATGCATTGCTGCCATAAAACAATGCTCATCCGTTCGATTTATCGTATTTAAATATCTTTTCATACAAGAATCTTAATTATCATTTATTAACGAAACCAAACTCACAATTTGTTTGCTCGTAACTTTTGAAAAACTATTCGACAATGCACGGATCGGTCTTATAAAAAATAAAAAATTGCGCTCTCTTCATCTCTAGCATATTCGAGTTTAGTTTAATGTGAAATATGTTTTTCTATTTTTCTAGAATATCTTGGACAAGTTCAACCCTGGCGCCAGGCAGCTGATCAACGCAGGCAAGGCATATCTGAAGGCCCTTCACGGTGAGTAAATTAAATGGAGCGCGACCCGAAAAGAGAGATAGAAACGAGGCGAAAACGAGGGGAAAAGGAACGGGGACAAATCCGCCGTTAGTCCCTTGGTTTCTGTCGTAGGATCGAATTGCCAATTTGTTAGCATCGCGAGCTCCTAGCTTCGCTCTTTTCACTCCGCGCCATATATCGTGCGAGAATATTGGTGATTTAACGATATATTAATCAGGGTCCTATATGCTGTATAAATAGTTGAAACATACATTTCTAATCGATATCTTTTGACCGGTCAAATCAGCTTTTTCATTCTTTAAGAGAGTTGTCTCAAGGATACCGTATCCGTTGGATTAAAATTCTATCGATAAAAATTTTCCTGTTTGATCTCGTTATATTTGTATATTTGTCTAGGAAAGACCCAAGGTGCGAAAGATAGAAAGTGGAATATACAAGGCGTCCCAGTTCGGGGACGCTGTATATTCCTGTATTCCATTTTCTATCTTTCGTACCTTAGGCCTTTCGTGGCCGGATCGGATCACTCACCCCTTCGGGGATTAACCCGCTGACCCTGAAACGGATTCGTGCGCCGTTGTTTATGTGGGTCGCGTGCCACTCGTGCGGGATATCCCCCTTTCTTCCCGTCTTCTTGGCAATAATTTTGCCGTGAGAAAATAGAGATGTTGATTTGCGCGACAACTTTATTTATCCAAGTTTCGCGTAAAAGAAGAAATAGTTTTTCAAAACGATTATATCGATTATATCGATAATATATTTAGAAAGTAATTAGTATAATTAGTAGTAATAACTACTATTTAATAAAAATTTTGCCATTAAGATCGCAACTGACAGTCGCGAATCGCAGAGCGCTCGAGAATTTTCCGCGCGGGTCTCGTTGATGGTTGAAAATTTGTTTAAGGGGCGCCGGGGAAAATAATACTCTCCCTGCGGCGCGGCGGAAAGTAGTTTGCGTAACGGCGCAGTCGACCTTACATTAAAAGTGACTTAAAAGTTTGCCGCCGACCTTTGATGTAACAGTATTACCGTGTCGAGAGAAGAGAGCGAGATGCTCTCGCGGAAGGGAAGGTATACGCGCTACTTGCGGCGGATGGAAATCGACCGGGTATTTTTGCGCGACAAAATATATGTATATTTTTCCGTATACATGTATATATAAAATTGATTTTCTTTTTTTTCTTCTCAGATTTTTTCAATTTTACAAACTTTAGGCCTGAACTTGTCTCGTTTATAACTATTGTGCGACGTAATGTAATGTTATGTACTCCTTCTCTCGTAATATCCTGCAAAAGTTTTACTTTAGAATAGCCGATAAGAGATAAATTATGTTATTGCTATCCGAAGGGGGGTTTCGGAGCTTCGGAGATACGAAAACTTGTCGAGGAAAAACAAATAAACGACCGCGAAAGGAGTGCACTGTCGGCGATAAGGTTTCACTCCTAAAGAAGAGGTATATGCGACGCGACGCGAATCCGCTGGTGGCAAGTTTGCGCGGTTCGCTTTATGAAAAAGTTGAAACAAACAGAAAAACCGCGATAATTTCTTCGACGATGGCGCGAACTTTTTTATCTCGACGCGATTATGGTTGGAAAGACTCGAGGGCAAGGAAGAGATGGGCGGGCGGACTAGAGGTTGGATCGCACAAAGGACGGTGCAACTTCCTTAACGAGTTCCCGTGTCGGGAATGAGAGCTAATTCGATTAGGAATTAATTTTTGACAAGACAAAGGGGAGATTTCTCCGAATGGTGGACGGGAAAGCAAAGGGCCAAAGGAAAAGGCTGGAAATTAAAGTGAAACCGAAGGCTCTTCTTCCAAGGAGCAAATTGCGTCCGATTCTCCCCCGGAGACGCTGGCAGATTTTTAATTCTTCGTCGCATTAATCCATCTTAAAAAATACGGTGGAAGGGGGCGGGGGGAGAAAAGTGCTTCTTCGATCCATCATTCATCTTTTCAACGTTTCTTTTAAAAAGAATATTAATTGTTTCGAAAAAATGTTGGATACATTTCTTAATATTTTTACTAAGTCAGAATAAGAGTATCAATTTCTTAAATAATTTAATCTAATCTTTTCAACTATTATTATTAATCTTTCTTCGATATATTCCTTTGCTCCCTTAAATCACATTTTTTTCTTTCTTTTTTTTCAAATTATTTGAATCCGATCTTTTTTTTACCAATCAAACTCTGGCAGAGCACTATCAAAACGCGATTCGTTAGCTTAATTAATTTGTTCCACCGGAAGAAACTCCGCCGATTGTCAAACTTACATCCAGTCCCACTCCCTTACTGTATTCCGCGCCCTATCAGGAGCCGACCCTGCGACAATTTATAACGAGTCGTTGAGGCACTTTGAGGACTCCGCTCAAAATCCCGCAGGAACTTTGTTCTTCCTTCCTTCCTTCCTTCCTTCCTTCCGCGTCCTCGTCCCGCATCCTTTCTCCAATTCTGCGCCATCCGCTCGCTTTCTAAGGACGCCACTTAAATACCAAGAGTTCCGCATTTCCAGTCGATTGAAGGATGCACGGAGCGTTCTTTAGAATATCATCCTCCTCCCCTTTTACGAGTGTTAAGGAGACGGCTATGAGACGGATGGAATTTTAGAACGGTGGATGCTGTAGTTTAAATAAATTGCGGTTCAATAATAATGATAATAATAAAAAAATATATGTAATTATAGATAATAATAAAATATAAAATTAACATATAAATACGATATTATTTGTAATAATTGTTACTTATAATTAGATTCGTTTCAGACATTTTTTTTTGCGAGAGACGCGACGGACACGGATCGCGGTGGATCTGCGACTGCGGGCGGTCGCGAATGTGATTTGAAAAAGTTTTCTCGTTAAATAGCGCAAAAATGCGCGCAGAGATATCGTCGAACGTGGACAGGAAGGGTGACAGCAATCTCGAGAGCAAGAGGGGAAAAGGGGGTGAACGTCCGCGTGGTACGGACAATGACAAGCGCGCGCGCGCGCGCGCGCGAGTACCGGCTGATTTTAATTATGGAATCTGGTGCGGGTGAAACGCTCAATTTTTCCGCCGGCATATGTCTTTTCCCCTCCTTCCCTCCCTCGCTCTTTTTTTTCCACGCTCCCTCCCCGCTTTTCTAGATTCGGCCCCGCGGGTCCCTGCAATTTCAATTTCGCGCCATCTCTTTACCTTTCTCCCTCTTCTCTCCCTTCTTGCCCCTTTTGATCCCATCCTTCTGGTCGGTATCGCTCTTTAATATCGATTTTCTCTCCAAGGGTTGAAAATATCGCGCGAGTATCGAATTACGCGCGCATTCGCGACTGTCAAACCTCGTCGTTTGTTTTGCGCTTTGGGATCCGGCGATAGGGGAGAGGGACGCGAGATGTTTGTCATCGTAGACCATATTATATAATGACGGTAATATAGTCGGACGGATAAACATTTGGAGCACTTTAATTGCAATGTGAGGAAATATTAATAATTTCTATGTACAATTAAGAAAGTTTTCTACTACATCATTTAATTATAAATATCTCATTTTTACAAATATTTTCTCGTTTTTATTCGCGTTATAAAAAACGTTTTATATTGTTCTGGCATAGTATTACTCTTAATCGTTAGATTACCAAACTTGGTCGTTATGTTGGATTTATTATCTTGATCTCGGATCAAGATGTCTTTGATCTTAGATTCGTAATCAGCGACGTTAAAAATTCTTAGATTCTGAATCTTGTATGGGTTGAAAAAATATTTCTTTTTTGTCAGAGACGTTATATCGTTTCTACGCTTTCTGTCTGTCTGTCTGTCTGTCTGTCTGTCTGTCTCTCTCTTTCTTTCTAAAGATTAATAATTTATGATTTTAATTAATAATGTTAATTTTCTTGGCAGAGATATTTGTGAAGAAAGGAAAAATGGTATTTAATTTTTTTAAAGTTATCACGAAAAGAGAGAATTCCAATTTAAAAAATCGCTATTTCTGTGAGGCACTCTGTGTATACACTTTAATATCGCATATTTAACGACGCCGGGCACGATGTATAAAATCTAACGGTTAATATATTCCGTTCGCGTTCTCTCGCCTAACGCTGCAGTTTGCGCCACGGCGAAAATCTCACCGCGGAACAAACGGCGAAAGTTATTTTCCCGAATATTACGCGATCGAGAGAGCGAAAGAGAGAGAGAGAGAGAGAGAGAGGGAGCGAGAAAGGAAGGGGGTGTGAAAATGACTCCGCTTTGCATAAAAAACGTTCGGCCTCGCTTTGCGTCGTGTTGGCCGAAGCGCGTAACGCGCATAAATAAAGCGTGTAATAAACGCGAGGGAGGTGAATTATGCGCGCGAGATAAAGAGCGCGCGATTCCAAGCGCAAAACTGACACGGAAAGAGACTTTTGCGCGAAGCGAGAGCGCCCCGTATAAAATATACGTGTCAAAAGTAATGCACGGCCTTATCGCGCGTGAAAACTCGAGATTGATAAGCGGAATAGCGACAGTAGTGCGCGTTATCGCGCGATAATTTAACCGAGGCGTAATCAAGCGGGGGACAGTTAAACTGTGACCGGCAAATCTCGAGATGTACATAAATTGACATCTCGTGTCTGAAAATCGTTTATCGATATTAAAGCTCATTGTCAGTTTACTCATTGTATGTTTACCTTTGGACCGATAGAGGCGGAATTGAGACGATGATTCACGTTTTTATCATCGCGCGATCGTGTAACGGAGTAAAAGATTTGTTTCTAAAGGGGTGAACGCTGATGCGAATCAGGAAAATAAATTGCGAAAGAGAAAGAAAAATGTCCACTGAGACAACGAGAGATATACAACGTGAGAAGTTGCGGCGATTTAACGGATGCATAATTCCGCTCTAACAATAAGTGGATTTGGATGTTACGTTGGTCGAATTACGATAACGACCGTGCTTACGATAATATCGCGCGCGGGCGAGAGAAGGTAAATGGAGCTTCCGCTGGAGCATCGCACCTGGAATTCGCCGGAATCACCACCGTTAATAGCGAATACCTTA